TGCTCCAAGCTATGGCAGTTTTGTGATCCTTCAGTACCCGGATCAGTTTCTCCCCTTCTTCTGCTGTGAGTTGTGATGATATGATGACCGGTAATGTTTCATCCTCTCCCAAAAATGCATACTTCAAATGTTCAGGAATCGGTTTAAGCTCCAATTTGGGTGCCTGAATCACAGAAGGAAGAATTTTTTCGTTAGAAGTAGGTAGAGAAATAAAATGGGAAGAAAACTTACCATGAATTGGTGAAAGAAACTCAAGGGCTGCCACTGTCTGGATTAATTCTTCTTCAATGTGCTCGGAATAATTAAGTTTTCCATGTGTAATGCTATGCACTAACGCCTTCTCTAAATTGTCTTGTCCTACACCTTCATTAAAACAATCTTGCACAAAATAGTCAAACGCATCAATAGACAAACAAGATTCAAAATCATTAGGGTACCTCATAGCATTGAAGATTTTGAACTTGACACTTTCTCCATCAATTTCCATGGTTAAAGTACCATCGTAGACATCAATCTTCGTACGCGCCGTTCTAAGAAATGGTCTTCCCAATATAACAGGAAGTGCAGTAGGCATAGGGTCATGTTCCATCTCAAGAACAAAAAAATCAGCGGGAAAAATAAGTTCATTCACTTGCACAAGTACATCCTCCAATAGGCCTTTGGGATATCTATTTGAACGATCTGCCAACTGGATTACTACCTTTGTTTCCTTCAAGTCTCCAAGGTTTAGTGATTCATACACTGAATATGGCATCAGATTGATGGATGCCCCCAGATCGCACAATGCTCTTCCAAACTCTTTCCCTCCAATTACACATGGAATGGTAAAGCTACCGGCATCCTTCAACTTCGGTGGTAGCTTTCTTTGCAAAACAGCTGATACTTCCTCGCTTAATGCCACAGTTTCTTGATCATTGAATCTTCTCTTGTTCGTACAAAGCTCTTTAAGGAACTTTGCATACTTAGGCACTTGTTTTATGGCATCTAAAAGAGGTAAGTTCACTTGGACTTTTCGGAAAGTATCCAAGATTTCCTTATCAGTTTGCTCCTTCTTAGACTTCATAAACCTACGAGGAAAAGGAATAGGGACACATGAGTTAAATGAATTTTGAACTTCTTTACTTACCTTATCAGAATCTTTTTTGTTCAATTCTGTATCTTTATAAGACTTTTCAGTTTCTGTTGAAGCCTCATCTTGCTCAAGATTTTTGGTTTGTTGCTCCCTTTGCTCATTTGTATCTTTTCTAGTCCTCTTTTGCATCCTTGGCTGCTCAAAAACTTCTTTTCCACTCCTTAAAGTCACAACATTCATCTGCTCCGCATTTGGATTCACCACGGTTTGGCTAGGCAACCTTCCTGGTTGATGTTGTTGCCTCATCAAACTTGCTAACTGACTCATTTGGCGCTCAAGGTTTTCAATTGCTTTGTCTGTTTTCTGTTGATGAGATTGAGTAGAGTTAGCTAAAGAAGCAATTAAATCCTCAAGAGACTTACTTGGAGCTTGTTGTTGTTGAGGCTGAAACGGTGCCTGCGGTCTTGCTTGAAAGAAGCCAGGTGGACGGTTATAGTTGTTGGGAACAGATTGTTGTCCGTTGTCTTGATTATTCCACTTTAAATGTGGATGATCGCGCCACCCTGCGTTATAGTTGTTGGAGTATGGATCATACTTTTGTCTTTGTTGCCCCTGAAACCCTCCTAACGCATTAGCTTGCTCAAGACCACCTTGATCCATTAACGAAGGGCACATATCTGTGGCATGTCCCATCACTGAACAAACACTGCACACCTGTTTTGGAGCCACCATAACCTGTTGCACAAGATTAGTCAAGTTAGCTAATTGTAATTCAATACTAGAGTTAGCACTTACCTCGTTAACTTTCTTAAGAGGTAGCTCATCTCTCCCTCCAAATTGTCGTGTGTTGCCAGCAATGTTCTTTAATAATGCCTTAGCATTTGTTGGTGTCTTGTCCATGAATGCTCCTCCACTTGCTGCATCAAGCATTACACGATCAGTACCACACAATCCTTCATAAAAATATTGTATTAAAAGATGCTCTGAAATTTGATGATTAGGACAAGATGCAACCAAATGTGTGAATCGCTCATAGTAATCTCCAAAGGGCTCTCCATGTTGTTGTCGGATTGCACATATGTCTTTCCTTATGCTTGCAGCTTTTGTGGCCGGAAAATATTGCTCCAAGAATGCTTGCTTCACCTGTTTCCATGTGTTCATTGATCCTGGAGGTAAATTGTAAAGCCACTCCTTTGCCTTAGCTTCTAATGTAAATGGGAATGCCCTCAACTTGACTTGCTCCTCATCCACATTGGCTGGTCTCATTCCCGAGCATACCACATGAAACTCCATGAGATGCTTGTTGGCATCCTCTGTTGAGAAGCCATGGAACTTAGGCAAGTAGTGAATCATGCCGGACTTAAGCTCAAATCCTCCTCCTGCATTTGGATATGTGATGCACAATGGTTGTTGATCCGTATTAGGCGTTGCCAACTCCCTCAAAGTCCGGTTATCAGCCATGCCTTCTTGTGGTTCTTCCTCCTCTTCCGAACTCAAATGTGGTGGAGAAGATGGTGGTAAAGACACCGATGCACGCTTTTGCTTGATTGTTCCTCGAAGCTTTCGAAATGTTCGTTCAACCTCAGGATCATAGGAATCTAGATCAATGCTCTTGGACCTTCGAGTACGCATATACTACGAAGAGTACCTGAAATAAACACAAGAACAAAAACACTAATTAGACAAGAAAAGAAAACAATAATAAAAAAATAAAAAAAAAGTAATTAGAAATAACAATCCCCGGCGACACGGCGCCAAAAATTTGATAGGATTAAAAGCACACCACAAAGTAGCACACAAATATCCTATTGATTTTCCTTATTAACACTAATATTTGTCAATTGTAGCATATGAAAATAAGGGTCTTTCCCGCAGAAGATTGTTTTATCTAACTACTTAAAATGTCACAAAAACTGGGTTGCTGTCCCTACTGACCAGCCACCGAAAAATAATTATTAGACTGACTTACACTTATCTAAAGTCTACGAAATTTTATATGCAGATACTAGACACACAGAGCTACACTCACACAAAATTTTGGGATTTTTGGAGTTGATTTGCTATTTAAATTAAATCGAACAAAAACAGAACAGAGACAGATTTTTGAGTAGTTCACAAATTAAGAAAAACAAGTTAGGGGAATTGCTATCCACCACCAAATAATCATGCAAACATGTTATGTTTCATTCAAATTCCTTCTATTTTCGGATGACGATGCTCAAGTTGGCTCAATGTTAGAACCCAACCTATTACTCTTTCTTATGTAGTATGCTAAGAGAATGGCGTTTTCAACTTAACTTAGTCCCTAACATGCAATCTAGAATGGTGTGTTCATAGATTTAACAAGTAGAAATCATTAAGAACGAAAAGAGTTTGAGTCATCACAAGGCATCGTAAGTACTAGCGTTGTCTTACTTATCCTAGAAATTGATTCACATGTTAATCGCAATTAACAAGTACTACTCTAGAACATATGTAGGTCCTCATTCGACAAGGGCAGGCACACACATATTCATAGCATTAGAATCCTAGATATGCTTACTAAGTATGCATCCATAGAAAACACAAAAAGAATTCATCAATGAGACAAGTAGTGAACCAATTTTCATCCATTCGTAAAAGTAATTCAAATGAAATGTCATAACAAACTTGCAATCATATTCGGGGCTTCAAAACAGCCCCTAACTACTAAAAATTAGTTACACATAATTCTCAAATTAAACCAAAAGAAAGACATGAGTTTGAGAAGATAAAACCGAGAGAAGAGAATGCCAAGATTTCCTCCTTCCTTTCCTTCCTTCCCCAACGCCGCAGCCTTCCTTTTTCCCTTGCTTTGCTTCTTTTTTTTCTCTCTTTTTTTTCACACTTTTTTTTCCCCCTTTGTTGCTGCAACCTGTAGGTATTTTCTTCTTTTCTGCTGCCACAGTTTTTTCTCCATAACTCACCCCACTAACAGCCATTTAGTGATGACAATAAGTGGGAGGAAATGCCAAAACAATTGTAACTCTTTGGGCAGCCTTTATGCCCATTACTCTCACTTAATTTTTCATTTCCTCTGATATTTGAATAGGTGTTAGCTGGCTTGTTCTTGGCTGCATCAGTTTTGGCTGTTAGTTTTATGGGATTTATTGCTTTCAATGCTTCTTTGTCAGTTACAAACTGCTCAGCATCCTGGGAACCTTTCAGTGTTTGAACGGCCATAACTTTTTCTAGAAAAATGATATTAAAAATCTGTAAAATGCTCCAGAAAATAGACATCCGTAGCTTTCCAAGCATATAAGGTTCATTCTCTAATTCATTCTGAGCTGTCCGAAACTTGCTTCCAAAGTCAGCTAACCTGCACAGGCAGTTTTGACGAATTTATTACTTAACATTCCACTTGTGTTATTTTTCTTTTCTTTACTTGACAAATCCTACAAAACACAAAAACAAAGTAAATAACTCAAAAATATAAGGAACTAACTAAGAAAAGATAAGTGAATTTGATATAAAATATATATAAATATGAGCTTATAAGTGCCCAAGTATGCAAAGTATTGCATACTTGGAAGGGGCGTGTGAACTTCTACTTGCATCTAACTATAAAACCTGAGTGAGATCGATTTCAGATACACTATACGTGTATTTTCATCTTCAACCATATCCATATCATTTGATTGTTTTTTTAAGATTAAGGCTTATCAACATATCTGTATGAATTTCATCGGAACTGCGAAACAAGCATCTATGCAGCATTGCTAGTCTATTATCGAGTTCAAACATACCAGAACAACAAAAATGCTCTCCAAAACATCAAATCAATAAGGAGAGTCTTTCCCCACCGAGAAAAAGAAAGGGAAAAACACATGCTCCATAGATTGCTTATTCCACTACCATGTGTACTGCTAAATAAAAAATGACAATGAATTATGAAGAATATCATGCTAACCATTCGAAGTGCTCTGCTCAAGATAATAAGGAGAGTCTTTCCAAATTTTTTGAAACTTGCGAGTTTGGTTGATTGAGTTTTCTTCCTCAGTAACAGCGTCTGTTTTTTGATGTGGCAAATCAATGTCCTGCAAAGTAAAGTTTCGACGTTAAATATGAAAAGTAGGAACAGCGTCAGCCCATAAATTATCTATTTCTAATTCATGGAAACCTAGCAAACAGCCAAACTTATGCAAAACTGCAGCAACAAAAACTCACAGGAAAAAGCAAAGGGTTCTTGCATAGCATACCCAAAACCGCCACCACCCGAAAATCCACCGCGTCCACGCCCTCTATATGCCATTGAACTACACATTTAAACGCAAAGATGAATTACTCAATAAACACTCATATGCGGCCCTTTACCACAGTAGTTGAAAGGTGTTGAACCATTACATGCGGCGTGAGTTCGAACCCTGTCGGTGACTCATCTAACAAATATATCATTTGACAAAAAATTAAAAAAAACACTCTTATGCAAAATAAAAAGTACATTGCCCCACAAATTTAGCAAAATTCAGCAAAATATTACTACCAATTTCAGCAGTAAAATAGTGACGACTGAGAAGTTCGACTCTACCGCGGGAGGGGAGAGAGAGAGAGAGGGGCAAGACTTCTGTTGGACTCGGGAGAGGCAGCAATGAGAGATTGAAAGTGTGATTTCGGTTGGAGAAATGTTATCCATATCATGTTTTTGTACCATATTTTCATACCACCTTAGGTAGCATTTGATGTGGACAGTCATATCATTTGAATTAATCAGATTTTTAAATTTAGTTCATTATTTAATAAACTAATAATTAAGAAAAACTAGTTAATTTAATGATGATTGTGGTATACGATAAGTTTTTCTCCTTCATTTCCTTGGGTTTTGCAAATTATGCCACATAAGGTGGTATAGAAATATGGTATAAAAGCATGGTATGAATAACATTACTCTTTGGGTTGATTCACTCAATCTCTTTGATTTTTTTTTGGGGGGGGGGGGGAGGGGAGGTTTGGTTTCAACTTTTTAGTCATCACAGTACGGTTCCTCGATTTTTATGTCAACACCTACAGACCGGGGGGGGGGGGGGGAGGTTTGGTTTCAACTTTTCAGTCAACACAGTACGGTTCCTCGGTTTTTATGTCAACACCTACAGACGGAACACATATGCATTGGTGAACTCTATTTCTATTAGGACGTGTTTGCCACTTGGGATTGGAATGGAGAGTAACGGAATTGCATTCCTCCCGAATCATTATGCCATTTACTACCAATAGGAGAATCAGATTTTATGTGGGTCCACCCAATTTCAACCGTTCAATTTCGGATTTACCCTGCATTGGATTACCTCTATAGAGATGGTAATTGAGTTCCGGGTGTAAGGCTGCCTTAGGACACAAAATTTTATACCCATAATACCCATTTCTATTCCTAAAACACGTCCTACCTTCATCAATCACTCCCCTCCGTATTTGTTTCTCTCGTAGCACTGACCACCCCACCTTTGTGATCTGAAACGATGCCGCAGCGATAAACGACTAACGCCTGCAATCAGGAACAAGGTTCGCCCAGGGGCTGAAACGATGCCTCAACAACGAAAGTGATCTGGAACAACAAACGCCCAAATCAGCAAGGAAATTGTGATTTGCAGACCCAAACAATATAGAAGGAAATAACCTTTATCACTTTCACTCTGTGAAAATTGGATTATTTTTCATGATTCCTCTTGAGATTGGATGGTGGGGTGTGGATATTGTGGTCTAGGGTGGGGTGTGGATACTGTGTGCTAGGCAGCCTCCGTTGGACAAGAGTTTGACGGTGAATTTGAGCGTTTTGGTCAAGCGACTGCAGAGAAAGATGGGAAAACAAGGAGAGAGAGCAAGAGAGCTAGAAAATGAAGTAAAATTTTGTTTTAGTTGACTTTATGTGTTACTATTTCTAATAGGGTTTAGGGTGATTAAGAGTTAGAAGCAAATAAAAAAGGCTTATTCTATTAACACCTCACATATTATTAATTAAATCTCACATACTTAATACATCTCATATTTACTTTTTTAATAAAAAATTTATCTTAATACACCCCATATTTTCTATACACTCAACATTCTTCAAACCTTATAAACGCATTTTCAATTTTTATAAATTAAATTGACTTAGAATTAAAACCCTAATATTCTCTAAAAATAGAAGTCTACAATCCGGTTTGTTGAGCTTGAGTTTCATTGGGTCATCACAGCCAATCTCTTTTTCTCTATCTCTTAAGCCTTTGCTAACAAAAAAGGATTACTGCTAAAAAATGGCAACTGGGTTTGCCTCCTGTGAAATTGGGTAGTATGGAAAGTAAAAGCAAGCTTAAATAATTACCGATGTCGTTGAATAATTAAAACAATGGCAAATATGAAATTTTACCTCATGTGTAGCTTCCGAAATATTGATATCATGTTCCATTCGTTAAATATTTTTCTCAATCAACGTGTTTATAGTTTCAATAGTTAGAATTTTATTAAACAATTAATGTAGTGGAGAGGTTTTGATAGTTGAAGAAGATAAATAATACGTTAAAAGTAATTTGGGGTGTATTTAGAAATTTCTTATTTTCTTTAAACCTCATAAGGTTGAAATTGTCATTGCATAATAGGTTACATAAGCCACTTAATATTAAATTTTAATGTGGGATGCATTCAACATTATGTATGATGCTAATAAAAAAAGCCATAAAAATGATTATCATTCTGATTCATGTGAATTGGTAAACCGTTTATATAGATCAATATCATTTCTATTCCAAACAATTTTAGTGAACAATTCCAACAAGAATCTGATTCTGATTACACCTCATTATATTTCCTCTTCAGTTCAATTCCTTCCAATCTAATTACGGTTTAGTAAATCCATCCGACCATTCAGAGTATTGACCTGCAACCTCGAGGAAGCAACAGAACAACCTTATCCATACTAACAAAAAAAACCAGAGACCTAAATTACTAATTGAATCACCCAAATTGCATAACCCCAATTTTATAAAGGCAGAAAATTTGAACCAGCCAAACGGAGAATTTCAACCTAAAATTCAAAATCCCAATTTAAAAAATGCATAAAAGTTGATGAGATTGACTTACCATTACGATTGGAGTGGATGGAGTCTGGCGATGGAGCAGCGTTGCAGCTGACGGAGATCGAATCGGGGGTTGATTGGATGGCGGTCTGAGGAGACTGGAGAGAACGATGGTGGACTGTGTGGAGGATGGGAGTCTGGAGAGAACGATGGTGGTGTGGTGGAGGAACAATGGAGGATGACGTTGTGGGAGACAGAGAGAGAAGAGATCGAGTAGAGGGGTGAGAGAAAAGGGAATTATCGGGTGGTAGAGTCCGAGTTCAAATCATGTAAACCCAAAACCCTGCATGGCCTCTATGTGACCTGTCTCAGGTAAAATCAATGGCCAAGTATCTCTCGTAGCGGATTCAGATTTTAAACTCGAGGATCCTAATAATAAAAGTCAAAAAATTATAGACAAAAATAGCATTAAAAAGTTAAATATAATACATTTCATTCAAAAATCATACGCAAAACAACATTACAAGCTATAAAATCCTAATTCAAGCGTCCACGACGAGGTTTCATAGTCTGAAAATGTTTCATGATAACTTCATTACCAATACATGAAAAAAATGGTAAATTACACTTTCATACCTTAGGTTTAGGGTCTATTTCAATTCCTTACAACATCTTCAAAACATTTCACTTTCATACCTTAATTACTATTTTATTTCAAAATAATACCTTTGTTACATTTTCCAACCATTGATCCGTTAAGTGCTGAACTGACTGCCACATATATGCCACGTGGCAAAAAAAATGATTTTTTAGTTTATTTTTAAAAAACCTGAATTTTCTCAAAAATAAAATTAAAAAAATTTGAAACCCATCCCTAAACCTGCACCCCCTACGTCCCTAAACCTCCATATTTTTGAGATTTTCAGTGTGGGTAAGTTTCGAAAATACTTTGAGATTGGGAGTTTGAGTTTGAGATGATTGTTGGATTGGTTTTGTAGTAGATCCACCTAATCTCGGGTGGGATTTTTGGGGGTTGGTGATGGGGGATTTTTGGGAGGGGTGATGGGAGATGCAAGAAAGGGGTGACTCGGGTGGGTGATGATGGATGGGAGAAGAGGATGGGTCGGGAAAGACGATTTTTGGGTTTTTTTTTTTTTTTTTTTTCTTTTCCTCCTCTTCTTCTTCTTCTTTTTCTTCTTCTTCTAGGTTGTAGGTTTTTGGGGGTGGGGGACGAACTGGGTTTGGCCTTCTTTTTTTTTCTCTCTTTCTTCTTCTTCTTCGTCTTGTTGTTGTTGCTGCAAGTTTAGGGATGTGGGGGTGGTTGCGGGGAGGTGGGATGGGATGGGTTTCAATTTTTTTTTTTTTTTTTTTTTTTTAACTCCCTCTTCTTTTTCTTCTTCTTCTTCTTCTTGCAGGTTTAGGGATGGGTCTCAATTTTTTTTTTTTTTAAGAAAATTCAAGTTTTTTAAAAAGAAAATAAATAAAAAAAATTTACCACGTGGCAGACATTTGGCAGCCACATGGCATATATGTGGCAGCCACATCAGCATTTAATGGATCAATAGATGGAAAATGTAACAGATGTATTATTTTGAAATAAAATAGTACTAAAAGGTATGCAAGTGAAATGTTTTGAAGATGTTGTATGGAATTGAAATAGATCCCAAACCTGAGGTATGAAAGTGTAATTTACCCATGAAAAAACGTCTTTCTCAATGCAAACAACTAAGTTGTCACTCAACCATTGACCTCCCATTTTGTTGCGAAGTTGACCCTTAATGATATTCATAGCAGAAAATGTCATCTTCACTGAAACGGTTGCAACCAGTAAAACCAAAGCCAACTGAACAAGCAAATATACATATGCAAATGTTTGATGCAACCCTTTCTCCACAAAACATATACCAATTAACCAATAAACAAAAATTTCATCTAAATTCCAATGATAAAATGAGTATTCAAACATAAAACATATCAACAATCATATCAATAATAGACTAAAAATCTCCATCAATATTGAATATAATTTAATTGAGATTAGATTAGAATTCCAAAAAACTTACTTGAATTTGGAACCAAATAGTTGTGGAGTGGAGAATTGAAACAAGTGGAGGTATGATATTGGACTTATATAATTATAATATGGGATTGGGTCATGGGTGAGATTATAAATTTAGGGTTTTGAAATGGGCGAAAGAGGGAACCAAATAATGGGGAATTGGGGGAAAAGAGAACACTAGGGAAAGATGTGGGGCTCAGGGGCTGGGCTTTAAAATTAAAACAATTTGGAGTCATCAGTAATGGACAAACGACAACGTTTTGTCTCCCTTTTTTTTTTTAACTTAAAACAATTGGCCAAAACTGTGCCGTTTTGGACCAATTGTTAAAAAGTCCTATTTTCTTTCTTCTTCCCTTCGTCTTCTTCTCCGTAGCTCTGCCGCAACCTGCACAACATCACATACCTCGTGTTAGGGTCGCCGAGGGGTCCTGAGACCTCCTAGGTCCCTTTGTAGATCCGCCACTGCCTCAAAGTAGGTTAGTCGCAGCAAGATCACATAGTATTTCGAATGCAGAAGATTTGGACTCAACCACGTGGTTAAAAAAAATTGGTTCAATTCGGCTCGGCATATAGTGAACCCTTACCGTTTTCAGTTTTGTACTCAAACTGAAAAAAATTAAATAAAATCGAATTGAACAGTTTTTTTCCGGTTCAAGCCAGGTTCAATTTCAATTCTCAGTTTATTTTGCCCAGGCCTAAATGCTACCCAAACTACTAAGGTTGTGCAAAAATACCAATCAAATAAAAATCATGCCAATTAACGAGCCAAACTTATGTTCAAGTGTGAACGTACATGTTTCGTTAAAATTTTGTCAAAACACATGATGTACAATGTATTTGACGTATCCCATGCTTCCTCGAAGACAAGTTGTGGTAAACATAAATACTACTCCAAGTCATATATCATAATGCGTGAAACACACCCTTGAAAAAAGTGTTTACATGCCCAACATAGGTGGTATATCAGTGAGAATTTGAGACTCTTTACCTTCGTATCTTTACAATATTAACATAAATTTTTAGTGATAAATTGGCAAAGTGTTGTTTGAATTGTACGTATATACCTCTAATAATTATTATAACTATTATATTATTGTCAAACTGCATCTTCAATTCTCCTGCATGAGGTAAATGAGAATCGAGATTATGAGAAGATAAGAGAGGTGGAAACCTAGAAGAATTCAACGTGGTACTATGCCTAAACCGTATGCTAGCCTCTAAATTCAACGTGACACCTATTAGAGTAAACATGTAATATGATCCGACTTGTACTTGACCCGTTAAATTTAACGGATAATGATCTGACCCGTTACTCGTTAAAAAAAAAACATATTTTACTTCAATAAATAATCAAATAAAAAAAACGTCATATTAAATTAGTAAATATCTACATATCACATTGTCACTCAATTAATATCTATATATTGTCATTAAATTAGTATCTACATACCCTAATCCCTATTATCCAAAGAACGATGTAATCATTATCAAAGCGTACAAGATGAGATCATGAGTGTTGGCATAATTTTTTCATATTTTTTGCACTTGTAAATTAATTATTATGAATTTTCAACTCCACCTAAAAACACTGTTGACGAGAGTTTTGAGTCTTAAAAATCTAAACGACAATGTACCCATCATCAAAATGTAGATGACACCATCACAAGCTTTTGCATATATGTTTCACATTTTTCACACTTAAAAATTAATTATTATGAATTTTTTTTTTAATTTGATGTTTCCTACAAAATGTAAAAATACATTAAAAAAAAAATTAAACAAACAATATTATTTCCGTTAAGATGAAGGGGGAATGTGCTAAGACTCATCATAGACTGGCAATAATGTTGAGATTGCATGTTATTCCTAACAGTATTGTCACGCTAATATCAACATTTCGTTACATAAATTAGAAGTTAGATGACACACCCCGACCTAAATTGAGGCATGATGACCGTCACTTGATGGTGACGTAGCCATGTACGCAGTGCGGAAGTGACAGTGATATGAAGATGTGAGAAATCAAAACCAATTAACTAATGTACACAAGACAAGTAAATAAGTGCGAGAAGAAGTGTTAGAGTGTAGATACACATAGTCAGAGCATTGGTGCCAAGGTGCTGTCCAACAAGCTAAATACTAATTATACAAGGTATGAAAGAAAACCCTACATTGATGGATGTCTGTCAGAACCGCCATAGAGTCCTCGTGAGCCACCAACACGCACTTCTATCTAGAACCTGGAGGGGCGCAAAACAGAAAACGTGATTGGGCAAAAACAAAGCTTTTCAAAACCATTTCTCTTTCCAAAAGTAATAACCTCACCGTAAAACCCGTATAATTTCCCAAAAAATAAAAACACATACGTATATAAAAAGCACGCTCGAGAGTAATGAAAATCAAATATATGTTATGTCAAGTATCCTAGTATGGAAATAAGTAGCCAAGTGAAATAAATCAATGTAAAATGATGTGTCAACCGAAGTCACTTAACGTGACTTATACGGCTGAACCTATAACTCATCAAATATGTCGGCACATGAGTCGGAACCACCTATCGTGGTCTGTACGACAGGGCTGGGTGCAAATAAGTAAGATTAAGTGCTACGATCACGTGAAGGCTGTGCGAATAATTGCGGGTCACCTACGAGTCGGAACAACCTAATGTGGTTTGTACGACAGGGTTGTACACCAAACTTGGATCCAAGGTGAGCGTGCTGTACGGGAGGTGAACATCACGTGAAGGACTGTGCCTTGGCCACGGGCGGGAGCACTAGCACCGGAGTGCAGGATAATGAGCTCTAAATGCATCTACGTATAACCACAAACAATGCATCCACTATCATCAATATATACTCACCTGAAGCTTACATGGGCGTCTGCAGCATCAAGCAACAATATGCATATCTATACTAATGCATACACTAAAGCATAATGCAATTGACATGACATTTAAAATCGTAATTCCATTTAAAACAAATTTCTGGGAAAACGCAAAGCATATATATGTATATATAGAAAACCAAAACCCACTCACTGGTATATAGTTGGATTGTAACCCCCGGGTCTCGTTTGACTGCGCTCGTCCTCCAAAAACATCTCACCTATATGTGAAATCACTATTTTAACATTAATTTTAAGTACATAACTAAAACTATGTAATAACTTATACGTTGCTCAATTGGGGTGTTTGAATATACCATCGTGGCCTACTTAACACCATGAACAACCTTATATTTTTAGAATAATTTTTCGACGTCCCACGCGCCTTCATGCCGGCCAAGGAATGGCCACGCGCAAGCACATGCCTGGCACATGGACAGAATGCTTAACGCTATTAGGGAATATTTCATTAAAT